CAATCTTTTTCAACGAGAAGTTGATGACCGAAGCCATGATCTTCACATCCGTATTGCGAAGACCCAAAGCTCGAATATTTGCCGCTTTACGAAGGCATCCCTCGGCATTGCCATCAAATGCGTCTGAGCCTTTCGGCATGAATAACCGGGTTACTTGGAACGTGTCGGTGGAGTTGGCCAGAAGCGGGTTGCCTTGGAGCTGCCATTGGATCGCGTCGAACAGAAGCTGAACACCGCGATCATGAGCCTGCCAGGCGGCATAGTTGAGCTCGTCCAGGCCGGGTGCAGCAGGACGCGCATGGCGAAGAGCACGACGAACATCCTGCAGCGTCGGAGGTCGAAGGTCACGCAAATCATGGGCAGGAACCAAGCGTTGAACATAATGTCGCGCGTGGCCTCTTCACGAGGTCGAGCGGTGAAGACAGGAGCCCAGTACTGGATCTTGGCGCGAAACATCTCCAGCGCATCAGCCAGGACACTGCCATCGTCAAGGATAATGCCATGCAGGTGGAGGGCCTTGCCTTTCGGTGCCCAGATCATCATCTTACACGTGGTGGCCTGTAGCTGGCCACGGAGCTGAGCAGCACGAGCGTGTTGAGGCAGGTCATCCAGTTGGGTTTGCAAATCACGTTGGCGACGTTCGGCTGCAGCCCATTGGACCTCATTCGACCAAGCCAGGAAACCTTCCGAAGAAACGAGGCTGACCAGATGCCCACGAACCTGGACAAAGTCTTTCGTCAAAGGATGTCCGCGAAGCAGGCGATCAGCGAGGACAGTGTCATTACGCCAGACGACGCGAGCAATCGAGCGCGCCAGCTGCAGAAGCGTCGCTGGATGCCGGGGATCATCGAAGACGAGTTGGTCACGAGCAAGCCTCGCCATATCCTTCAAGAAGATCTTGTACTCCTCGAGCGCGATCGGTGGAGAGAACATCGACAGGTCCAGGAACGGCTCGTATGCTGCAACCAGGTTCTTGTAGGTCTTGCAGGTCAGGATGTGGTTGGCGAGGAGGACGGAGGAGACGGAGGAGAGACGGAGGAGACCTCAGAGACGGAGGAGACCTCAGAGACGGAGAAGACGGAGACCTCAGAGACGGAAGAGACCTCAGAGACGAAGGAGACGGAAGAGACGAAGGAGACAGGACCTCGAGCTAAGATGCTGCGAATGCCGCTTTCCGAGGATGTCTCGAGCGAGAACCTCATGTTTAACAGAAGACGTCTGAACCACGCGGCTTCACCATCTCATTTTTTCGAGGATGGGTCGAGCGAGATGGCAATTTCCAACGATTCGCTGAACTTCGTGAGCGAGCTCAGTTTCTCATTTTCCGAGGATGTCTCAAGCGACAAAAGACGTCTTAACCACACGGCTTTAACATCTCATTTGTTCGAGAATGTCTCGAGCGAAACGGCCATTTCGAGGGAAACATCCCTTTCGTGGTCCGTGATCGCAATTAAACACAAGTGGCCCTGAATCACAAAACCGCTTTATAACTCCTCCCCGAGGAGCCGACATCACTCATCCCTCCTCGTCCGAAGGGCCACAGGAATTACAAAGGATCACAAAAATCAGACGGGTGTTGAGCAACCTCAGTTGTCCAAGACGGCTCCTCCGGACAATTGCAATAACAAGCCAACCGTGCAACCTAAATTGTCCGAGACACATCTTCTGGACGATTGCCACGGAAAAACTGTCACAAAACCTCAATTGTCCAAAACCGCTCTTCCGGATAACTGCGATTGAAGAAGAGTCAGCAGCGTGCTATAAAACCCCAATTGTCCAATACCGCTCTTCCGAACAATTGCAATTACAATACTGCTATACAAACACAATTGTCCAAAACCGTTCTTCCGAACAATTGCAATCACCACTCCTGATCCCCAACACCCTAGAGCGCAATATGCCCCAGCTCGGGGGAACTCTTCACTCCCCTTGGTGTCTCCTTATGATAAGTAAGCTGACTGTGATGATAACGATGCGATGATGGTGACGACAATGGTGATGACGATGATAGCGATGATGATGCTGATGACGAAGACGATGTTGCTGACCACGAGGCTGATGACGACCACGACGACCACGATGTGGATGATGACGATAGCGATAGTGATGCTAACGACGGTTCCCAAAACACTGTAGGTCCGACTCTGGGCGCTTCCCGTCGTCCCTAGGGGTCGTCTTGGGCATACCTTAAGACGTGTCGGGCACCTCTTGGCCGTCAAGGGGACCCGGAGCCTAGACGAAGTTGCGAACAAATCAGTTAGTAAAGAATGTCTCGAGCGAAACGGCCGTTTTGAAGGTCCCAGGGCCCTCTCCAAAATGAATGTTTGATGATGTCCCGAACGAAACGCCCCTTTTTGATACTGGACTAGGTTTCGGGAGCTATCTGAGCATCTCCAGCTTTCGAGGATGTCTCGAGCGAGAGCCTCGTTTTCAGCAGAGAACGTCTTACAAACAGCTCCTCCAACATCTCATTTGTTCGAGGATGTCTCAAGCGAAACGGCCCTGTTTTTATACTTGACTAGGTTTCGGGAGCGATCTCAACATCTCCATGTTTCGAGGATGTCTCGAGAGAGAGCCTCGTTTTCGGCAGAAGACGCCTTGCAAACAGCCCCAGACAAGAACGGAAGCGCCGCTTCTCTGAGCTTGCGTTCGCACGCGCGCATGGACTCGCACCCAGAAAAACTATGCGCAAGTGGGGTGCAGTTGCATAGACTCCCTAGATGCCCTGGTGGTTGCTGCTTCTAGCTTGGGCTTTGTGATTGCTGTGGTTGCTTTGGTCAGCTGTAGTGCGTGGCCTGTGTATGTGTGATGTGTGTGCGCGCGTGTGCGTGTGTGCGTGTGCCTGTGTGTGACCCAGTGTGCATGTGCGTGCGGCTGTGTGTGCGGCTGTGTGCGTGAGTGCGCGCGTGCGTGCAGGGTGAAGGCTGGGTGGGCGGGACGGGGGGGTATATGGCGTGCGTGCGGGGCGTGTTCTGGAGAGAGGGCGGGGGAGTGCACGGCGTGCGTGCGGGGCGTGTTGTGGGGGGGACGGGGGGGTGGGGGGGACGGTATGAAGATGGTTAGTGTGTGGTGTGTGCCAGCATTTGGATATGTGTATGCTATGGAGGACACGTCTCCCCCAACCTCTCGTACATTCTCTCTTCGGTCTTCGCTCTGTCTGATTAGTGCTTCCTGCTGCTCTTTATTTATTTCGTTCTTTTTTTTGTTGTTGTGTTTCACTCTTTCTCTCAATTTCTCTCGCCCTGTCGCTCTTTTATTCGTTGTTATGTCTCTCTCTCTCTATCGCTCGCTCCTTCTCGTCTTGCTTCTCCCTCTCTCGATGTTGCTTTCTCACTATTCTTGCTTATTCCTCTCTCTCCTTCTCTCTCTCCCTGTCCCCGTTGCCGCATTTTTCCACCATCGCACTCCTCTCCGCTACCCGATATCCCACCTGCCTTTCCACCGTAGGTTCTCGCTGGAGACCCCAGCGAAGTCGCCCAACTTACGACCCCTTCATCCCCATTGCTTGCCCGAACAGGCAAACCCACTCCCAAAGTGGCTCATCACATTCTACACGTGTCTCTCGAAAGGTGGCCGCCTGTTTCTGCCCCCTCGGACAGGGGCAGCACGTAAGCTCCTGTCGGTTGGTGGCCGCCACTTCTATCCCCCCCACTCAGGGGCATCAGACACCACCGAGGAGTGGTGCTCTTCACGGCGCCACCTCATACAGGGACCAGCCACCCTTACAGGCTGTGTATTCAGCCAGTATCCTCTTCCTCTTCCTCCTCCTCCTCCTCGTCCTCCTTCTCCCCCTCCCCTTCCTCATCCTCACCCTCCTCCACCCTCATTCCTCATCCCCATCAGGTGGTGGAGGAGGAGACGGGGGCCCCCCATCTGTCCGCAGAGGGCAACTATAAACCATCACCAGCCCCTGGCCAGGGCCATCCTGGGTCCTAGGACTGTGTGCAGGTCCCTGGACGAAGCCAGGAGTTTGCACACACCACCCCATTTGGACGCCAATGATGGGGGACAACGAATACAATGCCCAGCATCGCATGTTGTCTGAAACCGACGGCGGTCGCTGGTGGGCAGGCGACTTATTGCCTCAAGTGGACAACGCCCGCGGCGAAACAGCTAGTCCTGTTCAAGGAGGACGAGATGTGCTTTCTGTCTTCATGCCCGATCTTTCCGTACGGCAAGTTCGTGCCGTGACGACCCCGGCGTTGGTCCCTGACGCCGCGTGTATCGTTCAAACTTGGACGATCGGTGATCTTCGATTGCCAGGTCGTTCCATGTTGGCCGGCTCTGGGCAGCCGCCCGCGTTCAACCTTGAACGCCCGCGCTGGTGTCGCCGCCGCGTTGCCACGACGCGAAACTACCGCACCCTTTTCGCTAGGTCGGGCATGTCCTCGTACAGGCGAATTTTGGAGAGAGAGAGAGAGAGAGAGAAGTCGTGCACATCGAAGGTGCATTGGCAAAAAGGTGAAACGATGAGGAGGCGTGCGAAATACGAGAACACTCCATCAGCAAGGCATGCCGAAAAAATCCCATCGGGCAAACAAAACATGGCCAGACGCAGGACAACCGATACGCGCAAGAGCACAACCAGAAAATCGCCACCGCAGCACTTCTCCCTACGCACTCTGGAGACGAGTCCGGCTGCAGAGGAGCATGCCCGACCTGACCCTGTTATGTTGCATCCTCGGGGGACCTTGTCTGTCCCGTCGCGGCCCTGTCCGCGTCGAATCCGTGTCGAATCCATGTCGGACGCGTCGGATCCGTGTCGAATCCGTGTCGAATCCGCGTCGAATCCACGCCATATCCGCGTCGAGCCCGCATCGAGCACGCGTCGGGCCCCCCAAAAGACACCACTTTTTGGGACAGGCGAGGTCCCCCGAAGATGCAACAGAAACCCTGGCCAGAAACCCTCCAGGACCCTCCTCCTCCTCCTCCTCCTCCTCCTCCTCCTCCTCCTCCGCGCAGAACTGCCGCCCCCCGAGCCCCGCGCGCCGCTGGGGCTCCCTGGCCAGCTGCAGCGCCAGGTGCGACTTCCCCGTGCCCGGCCCGCCGGCGACGACCGGGCCATGCCGAGAGGGGAGGTCGCCACGGAGGGGGCCGCCGACTTCGGGGGCTCCCAAACGGGGTGGTGACCACACCGTGTGGTGAGTCGGTGGGGATTCGGGGTCACCGCACGGTTTTGGGACATGGGTCGTTCTCTGAGGATGTCTCGGGCGACTGGAGCCTCCAGGGTCCCAAAACCGTGTGGTGACGGACCGTGCGGTGAGGTCTTTGCGGATTTCGAGGTCACCGCCGGGTCTGTCACCACACGGTTTTGGGACACCCAACAACTGCACCAGGGAGCGGGCCTCCCCGGGATGCCCCAGACTTGGAGGCCTGGAAATGGGCACCAACACCAACACCAGAGGTTGCCTCCACTCGAGGAGGATGATCCTGGATTTTGGTGTTGGTGGTAATCTTTCGGCCGCCTAGGAAGCCCGAATATTACCACCATCACCGAGATCGGAATCGTCCTTCCTCGGTGGAGGCACACCGCCGATAATGGTGTTGGTGTCAACCTCTAGGCCTGCGACAGACGCCCTCCACCCAGGACTCTCAAAGGCGGGTTCCTGGGGGGTCTGGGGGACCCCCCCCCTTCTCCGAAGGAGAGCAGGCACATCGCCCAAGCTGAAGTGGGCTCTCGGTGGAAAGCCAAACCACAACCAACCGACAGAGACCCTTGAGGGGGGGGTATCTGAAGGGAAACCTTCCAAAAGCTGACCTCAAGAGTTTTTGTTTGGAGTGGGGTTCAAGGGGGTCCAGGGGACCCCTCCCTCAAAAACAAAAACAACATGAAAAGAGGCGTCGTCGCCCCATCATTGGCACTGCAGACTGGTCCACTTACGGACCCAATGCCCATGCTCTCCCACTGACTTCATTCATGCTTTCCCCAGACACGCCCCGAGACTGACAGAAGCGCCCCCCAAACGCACCAAAACCTTCTCGACCTTCGATCCCCGCGCGCGGCCGCGGCGCAGCACGCCCCTCCGCGCCCGCCGCTGCCCCGCCGACCAGCGCCGCACCTGGACGCCGACCACGGGCACGAGGCTTCCGCCTCGTCACACTCTGGAGACCTGCCAAACTGGGCTCGGCTGAGCTTGGTCCTCGAATCAACAGTGAGTCGGGCGTGTCCCGCGACAGGGGGATTCTTGGACGAAGAACAGAAATACCCCAGAAATGCCGAAGAAATCATCAAAAATGGTCCAGCAATAGTCCCCAGACTATGTTTTGACTATTTTTGAATGTTCCCCCTGTAGAGGGACAGGCCTGACTTAAGCTTGTTCCTCGAATCAACATGAAGAGAAATGGATCCTGAGGGAACCGGGTCCTGGACTCGAGGCCCTTCCCCCCGCAGCCAATTCTTCGTCCTGGGCCGTTGTGTGACGATCCCGTGACCCTTCGAGGGCCCCCAGAAGCCGAAAATCTCAGAAAAACCTGAGGACCCGTTTCCCTCAGGACTCGCTTCCTTCATGGCGACCGATATTCGATCCTCCCCCCTCCTGGAGATCTTCGATCTCCAGGGGCCGATGATCCTCAGAACGTGTGTTAGCGCTAACGTGTGTTCGTCCACGGACGCCTTTTGATAGGACTTAAGCGGCAAAATGAAGGCCGACACAGACTGCAAGGTCTTTCAGAAAAACAAATATTTGAACACGGTGTTGGCGACGGCGCCTTTGGTGAACCACTAAGTGCTATTGGTGCGTGATCCAGATTTCGCAAGGGGGTCTGGCGGAATAATCGCTCGCCTGCGAAAGCCTACTTGACGCATTATTTGATTCAGCGGCGGCGTCTTAAACAACTGCACCACGTAACAAGCTAAGCGAAATATGAGACACTGTGGATTTCGTGCTATCGGCAAAGTCGAACGGGGTACACATATGTGGCGAACATACGTTCTGAGGATCATCGACCGAGGCGGTGGTGACCCCTCCTTAGCGGCCTCCTTAGTGGCCTCCTAGATGGGGTCCGAGTGGATGGGACTGGATGATCGCGCCGCATCGCCAATGCAGCGCCGATGCATCGGCTATATATCGGCGATGCACCAGCGCAATCGACGTGGAGAAATTCTAACTCCACATCGACCCGCATCGCCGATGCATCGGCGATGCGGCGCGATCCTCCGACCCCATCCGCTCCGACCGCCATCTTTGGGAAACCAAAAGATACCGCTACCGCTACTCCCTGGACCTCTCCACGGGTGCGCTCTGACCAGAATTTCAAAGCGAATCCAACCGTGGCGACGTGGGCCTCCCAGGAGGCCCAAAAAGGGAAAACGAGTGAGGGGTATTAGCGGTATCGGTGCATTTTCCTCCACTGGCATCTGGTGGTGACCCCCCCTGGCACTGCCCGAGATGAGGACGCCAGTCGGCGGCCCCGCGCGCACCGCCTGCTCACAGCCTGTGGCCAGGAAGGGCCCGACTACGAACGCCCGAAGGGCCTCGACCGCAGCGCGCTGGCCGACCACCTCCAAGGGCAACTCTGAAACTCGGTCGTGGGCCCTTGTGGGACGCAGAAGGACGTACTAATACGATGCGTCCTCCTCAGAGGCGCGCTTCCGACCCGAACATATAATACGAGCATCTTGTACTATCGTTTTCCGAGCATTATGGCCAGCAAACGCCCGCCACGGAGCTTAAACTATGAGACTTCTCGGCGCGCGCGTCGCCCCTGGGGGGCGATGCGCACATAGAACATGTTGGGGTGACGCCGACCTTGCGACCCCGTCGTCGTCGGTGTTAATCTCAGGCGCTGCCGAATGTGTCCACGAGCTTTCAGAAACCCAAGACCACAAGAGCCGCGTCTCTTGACAGCACGCGAGTCATGGAAACCAACGCAATCATATGAAACGCCGGTTGGGGGTCGCAACGCCGAGGGGGGAAACAATGAAATCTCTGGTTCTGCCGCTTGTTTTCTGCGGAGCCGGGGAGCTCCTGGGCCGTTGCTCCCCCGGAACCGCAGCGGGGTCCGGCGGCGGAGCTCGCCAGGGCTCAGGAGCAAGAGGGCCCACTTTTTCAGCCCCACGGCACCCACGTCCGATGCCAAAATGCTCTCAAGCCGGTTCGGGCCGAGCCAGCAGCAGCAGGCGAGAGGGGAAAAGGAGGGGGAATGGCACGATAAGAGAGTGAGCAGGGGACAGATCCACTAGGGGCCCGTCGGTTTTTCATACGGATTCTTCAACTTTGTGGATCTGAACACGCTCAACGGACAAATCCAAACACAGTTCCCAGAATACAAGGGATATGCATTAGCGCGCATAAGCACGGCGGGAGCGACCCGCATATATATGTATGTATGTATGTATGTATGTATGACCGTATGTATGTATGCATGCATGTATGTATGTGTATGTGTATATATGTATATATATATATATATATATATATATATATATATATATATATATATATATATAAGTGCGGTTGGGGGAGGCGGGGTTGCGGAAACACACAGGATAGGGGGGCCTCCAGATGCCCCCGTCCTTTTTCCACATGGCCATAGCACTTCGACTTGGATGTGAGGGGGCCTCGACTCCTCTCTCCGCGCCTCATCGCGCTCGGTCGACCCAAGAATGGTCGGCGCAGCGGCGTTCTGGGCAGCGATCAGAGGGAGTCGAGGCCACAGCTCGATCCTTGCGGGTCTTAGCAAGGTTGAAGCAGTCGCCAAGGGCGGGCACGGGCGGGCAACAGCGACTGCCATGCAATCTCTTAACGGCCATGCCTTCTCCGCACCCCTGATCTCCCAACCCCAACTTATCCGCGAGCGTTTATATAAGTGCGGTTGGGGGGGGCGGGGTTGCGGAAGCACACAGGATAGGGGGGCCCCCAGAGGGCCCCGTCCTTTTTTCCACATGGCCATAGCACTTCGACTTGGATCTGAGGGGGCCTCGACTCCTCTCTCCGCGCCTCATCGCGCTCGGCCAAGGACCCAGACGGTCGACCCAAGAATGGTCGGCGCAGCGGCGTTCCGGGCAGCGATCAGAGGGAGTCGAGGCCACAGTTCGATCCTTTCCACCCGCCCCACCCTGGCTATTCAGCCGAATTCCTCTCTGGTCCGAGAGACACAAGAGGACGAGTAATGACCGATCCATCTCTGAGTTTCGCCTCTGAACTGCATTTCGGCAAGGATGGCGGCCCCGTCTTCGATATATATATATATATATATATATATATATATATATATATCTTGGCTGTCCTAATGGAGCTCCATCGCCCACGCAACGTGACGCGCTCAAGATTCTTTGGCGATAGATATTCGTGCGTGGCCCCGCCTCGACGCAGACTGTAAGGAGTGAGGCGAGCGTGGCGACAGCCCACGCCTGCAGCAGCGCGCTTAAACGCGGCGTGAAAAGACGGGAGCGCGCCGCTCCAAAGTTTGCCGGCAGGGCCCAGCGACAGTGCACGGTGCACCCAGGCCCCTATGTAGGGATCGTCGATGGCGACGGTCTCCCGGGCGCCTGTCTGGGCAGCTGTTTTGGTCCAAGGGAGACTCGCGACCCCGCGGCCCTGGGGGCCGACCTGGACCAGGGCACGGTTCAACCCAAGGATCTCACATGTTCTCAGGCACAGGTGGAAGCCTCCGAGAATGCAGGCAGCCAGGGCGAACTCGTTGTGCTCGAGCGCCCAGCCCGCCATCGCGGCGGCGACTCGAGCAGGCATTGGAGGCGCGCGGCTCGGCACCTCGAGGAGTGACCGCACCGAGAGGAGGCGCCGAGCTCCAGGATACTGGCGGCGCGAGCGCAGAAAATGCTGCACTTCTGACAAAGTGTCGCTCGCTTGCCCCTTCGAGGCACCGATGCTCCAGAGATACTCAAGATAATCTTGAAGGCAGAGGTCCATTTCGTCCCACGTGACTGGCAAAGAGAGATGCATAGCACTCAAAAGCTCGACAAACTGCTGGCATGCGCGCTGGTACCTGTTGCGTGTTCTAGTGTTCACGCGCGCGTCGGCCAGACGGCCAAGAGCAGCTCGGGCAGCGCGCCTCTCCTCTGGCGAAGTGCGCCTCCTACCCATTAGGCAAGCGGGATGGCGCGTCCGCAGGGTTCTTTGCCGATGAGGCGAAGGCAAAGACAGCCCGCGATCCGAGCGCCAGCTCGAGGATGGAACAGGCGCGCACTAC